CAGATTCAATCGTTTTACAGAGATAACTTATTTTATTCCAAATATGTGGCTAAAATGAAAAACAGAAATCGTGTTCGACGTTGGTAAAAGATAAATGGAATATAATGTGCAAGTACCACACTAATTTGTATATATATATAGATATATATATATATAATTATATATATAAACGTCTCATGACGTGATGTTGCGCAAGTTTTTGAGCATTTCTTTTTCTTATGTCAGGTCTGTTACTTCGGCTCGAGTGAGTGGCTATTTTCTTCCTCGCATACGTATCCGATACTGATACTGGTACTGACCATCATATCAGCCGTACATATTTTCAGATGAGTTGTAGGAAGCGTGGGGATTTCCTCACTCTATAGAGAACAAGGTTTGAACGAATGATACTACAAAACTTTGGATAGTACTTCCACATCGCAAGGCCCTTCCACAGGTAATTTTCGCCATAACCCCATATGTCTTGTAGTTGGAACAACACATCTGAGATTACCCTCAATTCGAGCAAAACGAACAAAACTTTTTCTATCTCCATTGTGGGCAGCACATTTTGGATTTCCTCAAATTGATCAAAACGGACGACATTAATCAAACCATCATTGTTTGTGACTCGTGATTTTTAACTCTCAACAAATTCAAGACAACTGGTCAAAGTTAAAATTGGTTAGCTAATGAATGAACTTCCTAACCAATTGCGGATCGTGCCGCTCAGTAAACAACTCGTAATATACGGACTACAAAACCGTGCACAAAAAGCTAGAAGCTTATCAACATTGTTTAAAACCCCATGAGCAAAAGCTAAATACCCATGAGAAATACTATTACATTCTCGTGCCTGTTTATCAACTGAATTGATCTGAGCATTAATTAAATCTACTTGTTAAGGAAAGATACCACTAAATAGGCTCTCCGTTCAGAATGATTCATTCGAGTTTTCTTAGAAGTCGGTTGAAAAGTCCTGAAAAGCTGTTTGTAATGACAGTTGTATATTCCATATATATTTCAGTGGCTTTCCAACGAAGAACCAAACACAAGTACGATACGTGTTGCCCAGCTTCTGGATTTACGCTTCCTTGGTTCATTTCACGTGCAATTTCCTCCGAATACGCTCAACAGACTGAAAACGTACCGATCCTGACTGACAAAGGATACGCTTCGAGTTCACATGATGAATAGCATTCCATACATAGGTTACGATGACAGATCACAGGTATTGTGCATGATCAATCTTGATTGTTATACACTCACTCTGTGATTAAAAATGATAACTTATCCAAAGATCTTTCGGTGGTACTAATACAGACACACATTTACACACACAGTTCGCCCTTCATTAAGTGTTTGACAATGCATGTCATCCAGCGTCAGTCACTTGAGCTTACCAGCGGGCTGTTTGCTATGCGTGACGAAACAGATTGATCCAAGTAATAGACTTGTGTTCGTTTTCGTGCGTATGTGCGTGCATACGTGCAAGTCTCATGAGAGTACAAACTATACTCTCCTGTTGACGGTACCAAACCAGATTTGTGAATCAAAGCCACCAGCCACCACTCATGTAGCATGCCCACCATCGGAATTGATCTGGGTACAACCTATTGCTGTGTGGCCACATTCTTGAACGGTGTGGTTGAAATCATTCCGAATGATCAGGGTAATTTAACTACACCAAGCTATGTGGCGTTCACGGAGACACAACGCCTCGTCGGTGAAGCGGCTAAGGAACAAGCAGCCCGGAATCCTTTGAACACGGTGTACGATGCCAAGCGTCTCATTGGACGTCGAATCGATGAGACCACTGTGAAGGATGATCGTTTAAACTGGCCATTTGATGTGCTACATCATCAGGGGAAACTAAAGATCCGCGTTGAGGTTGATGGACTGGGTCGTTTGTTTCTGCCGGAGGAAATCTCCTCCATGTTGCTGGTCAAAATGAAGCAAGTTGCTGAGGCATATCTGGGTACCACAGTGACCGATGCGATCATTACCGTGCCCGCCTATTTTAACAACACACAACGCCAAGCGACGAAAGACGCCGGTATCATTGCCGGTTTGAATGTGCTTCGAGTGATCAGTGAACCGACCGCGGCTGCCATCGCTTACGGAGTGGATGCAACCAACAAGAGGGAGTGTAACGTGCTGGTGTATGACCTTGGCGGAGGCACTTTCGATGTGTCCGTACTCAATATCAAGAACAATAAATTTGTCGTGAAATCGACTTTTGGAAATACGCATTTGGGAGGACAAGATTTTGATCAGCGCTTGATTGACTATTGTGCGAACACGTTTCAGCGCAAATACAATCAGGATATGCGACTGGATAAATCGGCTATGCATCGACTACGTACAGAATGTGAAAGGGTTAAGCGATTGCTCAGTGCCGAAATGGAAGCGTTTCTGGAAGTGGAAAATATTCACAATGGAATAACCCTAAGTATGAGAATCACACGAGCCAAATTTGAAGAACTTAATGCGGATTTATTCAAAAAAACTTTGGAACCACTAACTCAAGCCTTGAAGGATGCCCAGTTACAACGGCATCAGATTGATGAGGTGCTGATGGTAGGTGGGTCTACGCGAATACCTATGATACGCAAACTGGTGAAAGACTATTTCGATGGAAGACGACTGAACACGTCGATAAACCCGGACGAGGCCGTTGCACGTGGAGCAGCTCTGCAGGCGGCAAAAATGAGTGGAGAACAAGATGAACTGATCAAAGATTTGGAAATGAAAGATGTGACACCTCTGTCCCTGGGCACAGAATTGTACGATGGACGAATGCGTGTGGTTATAAGACGAAACACCCCGATACCAATCACCCAAAGTAAAGGTTTGCAAACCACTCGCGATAATCAATCCAATTGTCCATTTAGCGTGTACGAAGGTGAGCGTGTTATGGCTGTGGATAATCACTTGCTAGCCAGCTTCGAACTGACCGGTCTGACTCCAGCTAGAAGGGGACTGGTCAAATTCGATTTAACTTTCCACGTGGATGAAGACGGTATTCTCACTGTGGCTGCCAGTGAGCGTGGTACGGACAATCAAGAAAAAATCAAAATTACCAAAACCGCAGACGGATTAACCGAGGAAGATGTGAAACGTATGCGGCTGGAAGCGGAGCGATTCAAAGCCATGGACGAGGATCACCACGACCGGATGTTAGTTTGGCACGCATTGGAGACGTGTGCCTATTCAATTAAACGACGCATTGAATCGGGCAAAAATTGCCCCAATCTAAGTGAGTTTGACCGTCACACCATGTTGCAAAAATGTGAGCAGACAATGGAATGGTTACACTCCAATCGAATGGCCTCCCAAGAAATGCTGGAGAACAAAATGTCCGAACTAGAGGAAGTGTGCCGTCCAGTTTTGAAAACGATGCGCCAATAGCCAAAGACCTGTGAATAAGATGCAAATCGATCGAAACTTTCGGTGACTGACCACTGGACCTTGGATCATATTCATGAGTCAACCAAATCCAACCTGACTTTTATATATTTCCAACTCCTATGACTCAAAATTTTCATGGTAATTTATAATTTTGTTCTTAATTCCGTTGTATAAATCCCACTACTGAGTTACCAACATATTCATTTTCATTTAACTTTGGAATAATTATAAAAGGCTGAAGTCGATCATATTGTTTATGTGATTACCGTCATGAGTGGATCCATTCCATATCATTGCGCGGAACATGGAATGGTGAGATCGTTCAATATATGGAGCGATCAATCACTTTTGTATCCATCACATGATTTGAGTAAGCTAGACAAAAGACCGCAATGGTTAGGCTGCTGATCTCCACAAAATCTGAATCGGTGCCTAGATGTGTACAGTTCTTTTCGCCACAGTTCCATTGTATTCACGTCCCTGATTAAACATCAGTCACAGATAGGTACTACGATTTTACTGTGATCTACGTACGATATTTTTGATCACACAGACGATGGGTGCATATGTAGTTTGATGGAACAAAATGCGAATAACGCATCACGCAATTCTGAACCCAGGCAACCAATAATGTATACCTGCAATAGTTATCAAAATGATAAGCGTATAAAAGGATGTATTAACAAAGCAACCACGTTTCATTATGCCTCAAAATGACAGACGTTTTAAATTAACATCCAATAAGCGATGATCACCAATCGNCAATCGCAGGAACAACTAACCAGTGAGTAAGTAACATGTGCGGACTTTCACGTGCAATCACAAACGGCACATTCGCTTATCCTGAGCTCCGGTTGCGAGCACCGGAACGAGTATAATCAGAACACAAAAAACAGTGAGGTTGAAGTAAATAAAGTTAAACGCATAGATACATAAACAGTAGATTATGCAATCCTGAGGATAATAATGGTGAACCAGCTACGCAGCATCCTTGGCTTAATGGTGGGAAAATCGGATAGTTGTTCACCTGGCTGGTTTCACAATCTGGTCGCATGCCCTGAGCACATTCGTTGAGTTTATCTCGCACCCATAAATGAACCAACCGTTCGAACATTCCGTACCCACAGCAACGTGGAGTGAACTGATTCAAAATCTCTGGGTTTATAGTCACTGTTCGTGAAACTGGTTTGAAAGCAACAAACATGCTTCACATAATCTTACATGCCTATCCCATATGTGACACATGTTCCTGCGCATACTTATCAGTTTATCCTATAGAGTTGATATTATGTATTTATTTAGGGTTTGGTGCTCCTAATGCTTGATAACTGAGAGTATTTTCCGCCATCTGTTGAGTAAAACCGTGTTCATTTTAAATAAAGTAGTAGAAATAGAAATATTCAATTTTCTTAGGCTGTGAATTGATTAAAAATAAAGAAGTCATTGTCAAATAATACACAAATAGAAAATTTTGATATTCTATCGTCATAGCCGACAAGAAGACAAAGCACATATCATCATTAGGGATTATATAAAATTCGCAATAAACCCACAGCGACGTGTGAATAGTGCTTTTGGAAAAGTGAGATTGATTGGGACTGATCACCCTTCAAGCCGCATCTCCGCCTACAATCCTCAGTTTAACTAGCAAATCATACACTCGAGAAGCATTAGATTCGAGTTTCACTCTCATCAGACCTAATTAATCAGGAATAAATACGCTTCACTCGTAGCTGTTGATATTCATGTGTGATACTGGATACTGAAAAGTATTTCCAAAATGAGAACGATGTTGCACGAGTTTGATCAACACCTGTATATCAACCCGAGTTCAAGACCCTGACGTAAAATTCAAAAGCCACCCGCAGACAAAAATTAAAGACTTTGGTGATTTTAGTATTGCGACTCGAGTGCATATCCCAGCTGAACAATATGACGATGGCCGTCGACTATGTCCCTATATGTCCCAATGATTTACTCGTGCTTCCTCGATCCCTTTTAGAGAGATCTACTGGGATAACAAAATCTATCAAATAAGACATTTCACTCAAACTTACTTGTGGGTAGTGTTGTGGGATGATTGATATTGACTGATTGATAACTCACACGCCTCCCATGCGATGGGTCCAAAGTTCCATTCCCCCACGGGACGGTGGATATGTATTACTGATGAGCTATAATAAGAGCAAATCTCGAGTCCATAGCTTTTCAACTTCAAGTGAATCCGTTGTAACTTCAAGCGAATCAAAGAAATCGAATTCCATTGGAAACCCCACAAGACGATTGGTGTTTCGGCCGTCAAACGTCGCNCCCCCCCCCCCCACCCCCTCGCTCTGGAATGTTATGTTCGTGATCGTCAATCGAATGTGTGTCGTAGACGCGAATGAACGAATTGCATGAGTGGATTCAGTCTAGGCCCTCAATAATGGTCGTTCCCATTGTATGGATGACTAGAAGAGCTGTGCATGAAGGATCCTGAAAGATGGTCAGTCATAATTAATCAATCAATATTAAACAAGGACCTTTATCGGGAGGTCTGCTTAGTAAAACAAAAAAACATGTTTTGGTTGCGGAGCAATGGCCCGACTGGCTAATGACCAACTGTCCAAATAAGCGAACAACCGTAAACTATCACTCGACATTCGTTCGCTCACAACACCGGTGCTACGTTGTTGTTCACATTTGGAATACTGCAAGCAGTGTGTTCCATATTTCTTGACAAGAAAACGTGCCATTGTGATGAAATGACAAAACCATCATTTCCAAGCGTTTAAGTGATTGTGCCTTTATTCTGACGAAACTGCACAAACATATATCATGGAGGTCCGAGTGGGATCGAAATGCAGACCCTAAAATAAATGGCTAAGCATCTGAATAGGTCAAGCATTTCTTTCTACTTAGAAACAGTTATGATCATTGTATTCGAGGCATGCTAAAATATCAACTTTGGTAGCGTTTATTGGTATTTAAAGGACATGGGCATTAGGTAGGTAGAACCCTTCGGGGGAAGTGCTCTAAGTTCAGAAAACAACACACAATATTTTACAACTCTCGAGAGCGTTCAGATTGAATGCAAATGTAGACTGTTTATGTGACTTGTGTTAGTTCGGAAGACTCTTATAAAGTATTACATGTTATAATTTTTCACAAGGTGAATGTTTCAGTATCCGATAGAATTAAACTTATGTTTTCTTGTGACCATAATTTGATCATAGGTAGTTGGATTTTCGCCTCCCAAAGGTTCGTTCAGTGTTAAAAAGAGAACTTGCATCAAACGCCAGTGATGAAGGCGCCCGCGACTCACGAGATACGATCGCATCGGGAAAAAAACACTTCGATACGACTGAAATGATGGGGAACAGCGTCTGGATAGTTCACGGATCGTCGGTTCGGTTAAGATTTCGTCGCGTGAGTAGTAAACAGTAAAATACATACTCCCTCTCTCTCATTGGTTGAAATTTTTAACAAGTCGAGAAAAGCAGGGAGTCGATGACGCAATTATATATATATATACTTGTGGATTTTTGGTATCTAAAAGGTCTTCTGTATCCGGTAAAGGTACACAATATTCACTGACATTATCTTATTGGGCCACACCCATTCCTGCGTTCACATTTTTCGGAATCGCTCCTTCCCCATCCAATGCAAATGTGGTAAAATTATCTCAGGCTTTGAAATCAGTTTTGATGCAGTTAGACTGGGTAATGCCGTGTCCTATTCTTAATGCTTAAAATAGGATCTTTAACAGCTAAACCTAATGGGCCTTTTAAACTCATTGAACTCAACTACGCAGCTCAACATTTGGGCAGTGTTGTGTCTGTATCCATCAGCCGTACTAATCCATCCCTGGTAGTTAACGTGCATGCACATTCCACTGCAAGCTTTTTGTTTTGTCCTCAGACTTTGCCTTTCGTCTCATTTAGCCAGACTCAGTACACACAAATCGTAACAGTGTTCAGATTAAAATGAAGCTTTTCGGGACAAATGAAGTGCACAGGGATCAAGGATTCATAACTTAAGCATTGTGGCGATTCCATAACGGTATTTAAGAGGTTCAGAACTGCCTCGATAAAGTGTTATGATCGTGAAATCTTGAGTAATGGAACAGGTTTTTTTAATTTACGTCTTGTGTACAAGCTAATATGTTCAGCACTTATAAAAATTTTAAAACACTGACTAAACCGGTTGCGAATGAACGCGTCACTGATTTCGAAACTTAATTTTACCTCAGAGAATTGAAAAGTTAACACGGGTTCTTAAAATTTCAAGACTTTGTCTCGTATTATTTATTCGGAAGCAGTATAGAAATCAAATTCTTTGGGTCAAATGCTTTCGACGCATATTGTAAATTACACCCACGATGGATGAATAAAGTAAATTCTTGACTTGAAAAGAACTCAACTTGTTGTGTGAAATAACCGATGGATCAAATCCCACTGCAATTTCTGGCAGTGGTCATCAGTATAGCATAGTTTTACCACCCCCTTGGATGGAGGTGATCAATAATATTTATTATTATTATTACTATAATAAATTAATAACTGCGGTCATTTACTCACACTGTACTTGCACTTGAAAAAAACTACAATATCTGGTACTCCAGAAGGTATGAGATCCAAAACGACCCAGAGCCACGTAAGAAGCCTTCCATGCAACAATCGCTAGAAAAATATCATTACAATTCCGAAACTAACATTGTGTCAAGCGAACTTTTGCAGTCAACCGGTCGATACTTAATTACGACTTTGTTTCTGGATTTTTATGCTAGCTTTAATGGTGCACAATGGGGCCACTGTTTAGTCAGTTGCATTCTAGGGAGACTAAAGACCATAAATAGGTCACATCCAGATAGTATGCTATGGAATGCAAGCATGTTGTCGCAACACATCGCAAGAACTTGCAGACAGTGAATAATCGAGAACGTTTTGGCAAATACCTTTATGTCAAAATTCCCTGCTGTGCACAGAACCTCAATTTGATTCCATGATTCTCACTGAATC